AGAGATGGAAATAGTGACACAGATTCTCATAGACCTTTACACAAAAACAGCATTAATAAGCTCTTGAATCAACGTATCCTCTTAAATTTCAATTTACGTGAAAAAACTCTCATACACATACGTTTAACGTACTTTCATTTATGTCGACATATTTAGTCATAAGTTCATGACATTGGTAGCAGAATAAATATTGCTTAAAACTAACGCTTTGAGAAATTCATGTATAAATGAATCAGTTTCATTAAAGGTAAAAAAGTAAAATTTTCTTCCTGTTCATTAATTAAGCACCATTTCCTTTATTCTATTGTTTGTATCGTGTTGCGTAAGTACGACTAATAATACAATTTCAACCGTCAACGCAACAGCTTTTATTAATTTGTGTTACACTACAAGTTTTGGCCCTTAAAGTGTCATCTTCAGATGTTTCCAGTTACACATTATTGCATTACTGGATTGCAAAGTGAGATCTGAATATTCCTACATACATACACAGGCCATAAAGGGGCTATATTCATATTTATATAGTATTTAAGGACCTTGACTCATCATGCTAAAATTAAATTAAAAATTAATTTAAAAGCTGATTAAAATCGTGAGCTGTGACCGGCTTAGTCTACTCATATTCTTCTATTATTTGTTGTGCCACCTCATTGTGCTGTTATTATCATGCTCAACTTTCTTGAGGGCTAATGATCTAGGTCTATATATTCTTCCGTAATTACTGGATCGATGGTTAATGTTGTGCTTTTATGTTGTCTAGTTTCCGTGAGTCTCAGACCAGTCAGTATCTCTAAATAGAATGTAAACACGAGCGTAGCTACTTTGTGGTCTGTGTATGTAAGTAGAAATATAGGGATCTCACTTTGCAATCCAGTAATGTAATAATGTGTAGTTGAAAACACCTGAAGATGGCCCTTTAAGGATCGAAACATGTAGTGTAACCCAAATTAATAAATATTGTTGCGTTGATGGTTGAACTTGTATTATTAATTAAACACCACCCTATGAAGATATTTGGGGGAGTGCAGATATAACCTCGGCAGTAGATGGAAGTGAGTTGTCAGCTTCACGTTTCTGCCGCTTTACCCCCAGGGAAAGTGTCCCCGGTATCCATCGGATATGAGTCTGAGTGGTCGCCAGGGCCGGTCTGGACGCTGTGGAGAAGAGAAAATTCTTGAAACTACCAGGACTCAAACTCCAACCCCTCAGTCGTCCAGCCCGTAGTCAGCCGCTATACCGACTATGCTACCCCGGTTCCTCCTATAAGGTCCGTAGTTCTAGACAAATTCTGACGGGAAACAGACCAGAAGAAGAAGAAGAAGAAGACCAACTACCTTTGAACCGTGCGTGTAACACCATAGTTGGTTCTGATTACATTTTCTCTCCGCATTTTCTTTGGTGGGTATTGCGGCGTACTGGAAGGCAGTTGTAATGATGCAGAACGTAGGAAGTGAAATGTTGAGAGCATTCTAAATTCTGAAATCAATACGGTCGACGAAAGAGATCTTTAGCCATGTAAAACATAACAAAACCTCCAACCAACACCACTGTCCTGGCTTCTGCTTCAACCGACTGTAGATGAGAGATGAAATGGTTACGACAACAAAGGTCAAGGGATGCTGCTGATAAAATGAATAATATGTTATGGTAAGCATACATGTTGCAACACATGACCTCATTTCAGAGATAAGTGGATTATATGTCAGATATAATAAGGGTTTTATTGGAAACAAGCAATGAAAAATTGTTTCTAAATTTGGTTTGAAATCTTAGAGAAAATATATGGCACGGCTTATGTTGGCAGTCCTCGGGGTATTTCAAGATTCCAGTGTTTGTGACCATTCTGAAGAGTTCAGAATGAAATTTAAATAACATTTATGTCACGAACAGGAGAAAATTTTCCTTTTATTGTTTTCTTCACTCTTCTTTCTTTTTCCCTTTATTTTCCTCCTTTTGCTTTTCTTCTTCTACCTTCTTCACATTTTCTTTCTCTCCCCCCCTTCTTTTCTTCTTCTTTGTTTCTTTCTTAGTTTTTGTACCTATTCCATCTGTATTGGCTCCCAGCTAACATGAATGCACTTGAATATGCTCACTTATAACATATTGTGACATGTAGACCCATTTGTAGGCAACGCCCGAAATATGCTCACGCAACAATAGGAATGATATTGGAAGAAGTGTTCCCTTGCGGTCCGCGTCATACCCAGTGCTAAGCAACGGGTCGATAAGCACGCATTCTGACAACAGAAGAGGTGTTTTCTATATGGTCCGTGCCATACCCTCTTCTGGGCAATGGGCCTGTGAACACGCACTATGACACGTGACACGTGACACGTGTCTTCCGTGAGGTTCCCCCCGAGTCTGTATAGCTAGAGACGAAAAATAATTGGGAGTTCACTTCAGTAGTTGAGCTGAGTTGAATTGAGTGTTGAGCTGTGGAGTGTTAACCAGCAGACAGCGGAAGCTGACGAATCTCCATTGCTGAGATCCGTTATCTGGAAAAGCCTAGTGAAAACTTTGCACAGGAATAGCCATTGTTGAGATCTGTTACCAAGCAACGACTAGTGAAAGCAGTTTTAGAAGGCAATGTGGAGTGATTTGGAGTGTGGAAATCAACAATGGTGTAAAAATTATTTGTAGTTACGACCTGTAAGTGGTCAATAAATCGATGCACCAGTCGGAACCCCGCCTCTACTCACTAATACACGTGACAATATATGTTTTTCCGAAACGTCGTTCTACCGGGCTACACCCCGTTATATCCCAGAAATCATTGGTCTTCTTACATGATATTCTTTGGTTCTCATCCCGTTTCTCCTTTTTATATCTAAATTTTCTTCTCTGTTGTTGACATTCAAATGCCTTCGGTTTGTATTCTTTCCCCAGAAACAGAAATTTCTGTCACACTTCCAACAGTTAGTAAGTTCAGTGGTTCCCAACCTTATCTATATGACGTACCGATAAAAGAGCACTGGCGTTTCCAAGACCCGGTGCCCTAATCCTCATACTCCGTACAGCATAACTGTCTTCGAATCTAATTTTTACTAGCACTTCTCTATGTAAGCACAAAAATTAACGCGTGTACATGATTATTAAAACAGAATATCTGCCATAATCGCTCATATTGTGTAATTGCAGTTAAAATTTATGCACGAAACTAAAATAAAAACAAAGTAATGGCTGGTTGTAAATCGGTAGTATTTCGAGCACTGGTAAATGCGTGTAATATTGTGTGAACTATATTTCTGGATCAGCGTATATAATCTAACCATCTACTGGGAAATTCCGAATAGGACCGTGTACATGTATTAACTTCCTCTTCAGGTGCAACAGCTAAAAAAGTACATAGTTATCTTAAATTATGGCACATTTTCACCTATTTTGCACATTATCATCTTAGAGTATATTTTTATATGAATACAAGAATGTTATTCCCCCAGGGCAAGAACAGGGAAAAGATTCATAATATCTCTTAAACTGTCTTAACTGATTTCAGTACCTTAACATTACATTTAAGAGTCTTCTCGACGTTTAGGCTAAACAAAGAGAAACTTCTTATAATTATTCAGATCTCCATTTCATAAAATAATAAGAAAAAATTCTTCACTTAAGGGGCACGTAGCAGAGCTCTGCTTGTTACCTGCTTCGCACTGGTTTCTTGTTTGCTTATTCTTCGATCCTGAAGACGGAGACACATGTTTCACTGAGACGTCGGCTGGCTTTCAACGGATTACGAGATGTTACATCCCGGAAGATAAAACTCATCATAACTACCTCTGTGAGAACCTCAAATCCTACCTATGTAGGTTTATACTTTCAAAGCCTTATTTTTCATTCATTCGTTAATGACACTACCTTTGTTGGGCCCTGGCCTCTGCTTTATTTTCGGCTTTTCTATCTCTTTTTTTTTTTTTTGCACAGATGGTAGTACTCCTTTGACGAGTGAGCAGCCCGTCGCTAGGCCGCTCCCTACACACAGGACAACACAAACACGGAATAAATGCACACAGACATTTATGCCTTGAGTAGGATTCGAACCCATTATCTCAGCTTTTGAGCGAGCGAAGATAGTTACTGCCTTACACCGCACAACTGAGATCGGCTTCAAAACCTTATATTTACTATAAGTTTAGATTGAGATGTGGGTTAAGTTGATATTCATGGAACATCGGAAAAACGCATTAGGCTATCCCATGAAACCAAACCTGGTTTCCTTTTGCCCGCAGTGACGGAACTGTAAATTCCACAACACGTCTTCCAAATGTGCATTTATATTAATTATATAATACGTATGAAATTAATAGTCCGTTCCATACGGTCAGCCTTAATTTGTCTTTCATTATTTGCCTTGAAAGTCGCACATTAAGAGAAAATTGTTCACCTTTCTTTTATCTGACGGTACGCAACTATAGGCATACGGCTTAGTGACACCGTTTTCGTAAGAACGTAGGCTGAAAAAAAAATATAGGCCTATGTTAACAAGAAGGAGGGCATAACGTAGTTATAAGTACTGATAAATTGTTTTTAAATTAAAGTTCATAATCTTCGTTAATTCGGCACGGTCTCTCTTGTATTGTGTGGTTTTAGGCCTAATAGAAATCTGTGAAATATAATCATTGGACTCCTGTCCTCCAATGTCTGATTCATTCGCATTGTGAATTGCCCGTTGTCAAGGGCAAAACAATTCGATGGAGTCTTAACAAGGAAAATCAGAACAAACTCAGCGAACAACTTTCCCCAATGCCACGTTGCCCACCACAAATCCTACATCAATTGTCCCCGGACTGAACCCGAAACGCCCGAGACTCCGAGGTGAGGAGACAGTGACCGCCAGTGACTAACCATCTGACGTATGGCACGGCCTTTGAAACAGTTTTAGGATATTTATCCTTTATTATGTGCATGCATCCGACACTTTCAGTTTCTTGAACGACGTTGCTCTATATGTAGCAGTCCTTGAAAAGTTTCCATTCATTGGCCGCTTCCACTGCTTATTTACGTCGTGTAGAAGTGTTTTGTGTCAGCAAGAAAGATGCAGCCAGTTTCTCCTTGCTTTTCAGGCTGTAAAGCCATAATTAAAAATTGCACGGAACTTACAAATGAAATTGTAAGCGTTGATCATTCCATGTGTTAGACTTCAGTGGAAAAGTAGGGGTACGCTAGTAGAACAGACCGGTGTCACGGTAGTTGGCGAACAAATGACTTGCGGCAAATATGGTGGATTCTCCGCTGATACGGACGGACGAAATCATCGGTATTTGGACGTTTTTACAAAGTGTTAGTATATATTCTGTCATTCTTCTATTGTGGGTGAAATAATTTTGCGGTGTCAAAAGAAATCAGTGTGAAAAGAATGAAGACAAATACGATGCTAAAGCATACACTGCAGTACAAAGCACTGGGGCGAAGAAATGAGGATGCCGAAATCAACCACATTTAGAGTTTTTCGGGAATGGTCATAACCATGGAAATTTTTCATAATTTATGACGATGAAGTACAGTGTTAATGTTGTGTGCTAACCACCAAAAATGTACTCATTCTCGTTACATAATGATTCATGATATCGTGTACACGCAAATAATATGTGGGATACAGTTTTTTATACTGAATATTAGATATTCTAAACAATTATATGTTGGGGGGATGTTTAGTTACTGGTTCGGAATAAATGGACTGTCATCACATTTGAACATTGATAAATGCGTACAGACAGCTGCAGCATAGGCTATCTGTGCCAGGAGTTGCAACACAGCTCTTCCTAATCGCATGTTGATCACGCAGCTCGTATATAGTGCTGAGTTTGCCACCAGAAAAGTCAAAATGAATACGATAAAATGTAACAGGAAACTAGTATGAAATCTGTACCCCATTGTTTCATATTTGTGTGTTTTTTTTTGGGGGGGGGGCAGGTTGTTTGTTGCTGTAGACAGTTTTCAGTTTTGTTTGGCTTTTTTTTTATGGACATGTCAGTTTTCATGCCCAGCATTTATTATGTAATAAATAGTTGTTTTCAGATGTTAAGCTGAATGTCTTAGAAAAGGACTGTCCAACTTCAAAATGCTGAAGGTTTGCATGTTCCATAGGCACCTCCCTGTGGACTGCATTACACAAAATATGTTTTTCGGATGTAGTAATATAAATAAAAATGTAATGCATAAGGTTTGAAAATTATTGTAGAACTGTAATATATTTTAACATTATATACTGCAATTAGAAAAGATTGTAGACTGTATGAATATTGCATACTGTCGTTGAATCATACTAGTTCCTTCCTTATCTGAGTTATTAGGTGCTGTGTGAAACAAATTGAAAAGTTGCATGGGGTATTTAGTAAACACTTTTTATAAAGCTTTCTTGAAAAAGATTCATATTTATTAAAGTGGAGAAAAGCACTGACACGTACTGTAGGGGATGGAAAAGACTTTCACTGGCCTCCCAATAGCAGAATTGTGACAATTTTGTCAGGCTGCAGGCAACCTGGATGCTACAAGTTAAACAGTCTTGACTTAGAAGTAACTGTTTCAAGAAGTATTTCATTTAATGTCAAAACATATATTTCTCTTATCAGCAGTGTTTGAAGCATTCATTTGGACCTTCAGTACGAGTATGTTCTAAAAGCAATCTTTTGAGTGTCAAGACTCTAATCATCTGTTATACAGAAGGCTTTATTATGCTCAAAGATCATACTGTGGGATTGTCGATGCTTGAAGAGACCACCACATAGTAAACTTCTATCAACAGATATTTATTTTTGCTAGAATGAATATACAGACAAGTTTCTTAACAACTAAAACATGCTCCAAATTTTCCAGTCTGTTTTGCCTTCGTCAGTACTTAGGAGTGCTTCGGACAAAGGAAATTACTCCACTGCTGTATTGTCTTCACATTGTATAACTGGCCTCCGGTTGGTTCATGCTGTGTAACCTAGGCACTGATGAGAAAGAAAGCACCGGCTTCTGCAGTTCCGTTAATGTTTTGTACCGATCTGTTTCCATGGTGACCTGATTACTGAGCAGTTGTGTAGCAGGGAATGCTTCCTAGACTGCAATTGAAGACTGGTGTGTCGGATGTTGGCATCTTTACACGTCACCAATGGAGCACAAACAGATGGATATTGGAGGTGTCATGGTCTGCACTCATCAGCTAGCACTTGATTCAGTATCGGTGGCTCCCTCTGTAGTTTGATTACATTTCATTTACTCAGTATTATGAGTAATATTTAAAAGACGGCTGCTTATGACTCTTCTATGTCTTGGACAGTAATTCAGGATGGGTCTTGATAATATGTCTTCTGACAGTTTGTTTTGTCCATTTCTGTCCGTTTGATATTGCCTCATACAGAGGTTCTTCAATATGACAGTGCATCACCCTATTCGAATGGATACATTCCTTGACACGTCTTAAAAATTTTGTTTCAGCAAACAGTATTCTTCCATCTGTTTTGTTATAAAAATTTTTAAATTTCACTTCCTAAAGCAGAGTAGGAAATGCCAGTATGTTATTAGATTTTCTGTCACTTTCATTTCTTTATCTTTTAAAATAATTTGTCACAGCTTCACATGTTGGTCATCTATGTATTTATGTCTTTGTCATGTTCAAGTGGCATCATATTGCTGAAAATTAAAATGTAGAACTTATTTTAAAATTGCCTTCAAAGAAAATTCTTGTTCAAAGAGAAGATTTCTATGAAGTGCTATACTTTGTGTTTATTGTTTAGATATTAAAAAATTATAACCATTACTAATTTTATGAAGTCCGTTTATCAGTCAGTCCTTGTGGTATTTAAGTATGCTTTTTCAGTTGCATCCATTTCAAGATTATAGTGTGATAGGTGAATGGATGATTGTGAATGATGAATTGGGAAGGATGCGGAAGAAAGTGATTCTTGGTTATTTTAAGGTTCACAGCATTTGTGTGGAAGGGCTAAGGAAGATCATAAAATTGTCAGTCTGTATAGTCTGTTTCTGGGCTGAGATTTGAACCTGGAACTTCCTGAATACAGAGTTGGAGTGCTGACCACTCAGTTATAACATTCTGTTTCATTTATTAGTCTAGAACCAAAACTGTGATGTATAAAGTACTTATAAGATCAGTGCTATCTTATGCCTCTGAGACCTGGCCACTGTCAAGTTCAGATGAAAGACTGTTAAGTGTATTTGAAAGGAGGATCTTGAGATGTATCTTTGGACCAGTGAAAGAAAATGGAATATGGAGGAAGAGGTTATACAAACTATTTAATGAACCAGACATTATTGGATTTATAAAGGTGAAAAGGCTTGAATGGGCTGGACACATATTATGTGCCAGCGAGAATAGAACTGTCAAGAAAATGCTTAATACTAAACCAGAAAGAAATAGGAGAGTGGGAAGACGAAGGTCAAGATGGGAAGAATGTGTGTGGCAGGACATAAGAATTTTGGGTGTAAAGAACTGGAGGAATGTAGCATCGAATAGAGAAGAATGGCGAGCAATACTGAGGAAGGCCAGGGCTCACAAAGGGCTGTTGTGCCAGATGATTAGTCAAGATAGTTTGTTAGTAGTAGTAGTAGTTTGTTATGTAGGATTTGAGGTTCTCACAGTAGTGGTTATGAAGAGTTCTATCTTCTGGGATATGATTGTGTAGTCCATTGAAAGTCAGCCTATGTTTTGGAGGAATGTCTCTAGCTTTGATTAGGTTTCTTGCTTGGCTTATTTTTCTACTCTGAAGGTGGAGGTGACATGTTGACTTTCAACAGACTACAGAGCATTACATCCCGGAAGATAAAACTACATAGAGAATATTTTCATTATTTTGTGTGATCTGTGTATATGAAAGTACAGTATTTAACTTATTCGCTGTTGCTTTCATTCACTGCCAGTGAGTCTGTTTCGGAGTTAAGATTCTAACGATAGAGACAATGTGAAAATGCTATTCTTTAGAATGGAATTGGATGTGTGTCAATTTTACATGAATGGCATACAGAGTGGGTTTTATAGTTGCAAGGAGAATGAACAGCAGAGATAAAAAGCAAGAGATAGATCATGATTTGCAAGGTTCATGCCAATTTATTTACTGATATTTAATCAAAAATATGGCACCATACAACCTTAACTTACTACCAGGATGTTGGATTTAGGTGTGAGTAAGCGTAGGAATCCTTAAAGAGCTTCAGCTTTGTTTCTACATGAGCAGTGTTATAGATTTTTGAATTAATGTAGTAATGTGAGATGAAGCACTGCTTATTCTCTTTATAAATATACACATGAAATTTTTATTTTCAAACATTTCATTGCAAAATACTGCCATGGTAAACAAGTTACACAGTGAAGTTTACTGCTGTCTTCTGATCTGTGACACCATACGTACTTACTTACTTACTCATGGAGCTGAGCCCTTCTTGAGGAGCCGCGAATTCTGCAGCTACTCAAGAATTTCCCAGCATTTTATGGAACCCGAAGCTTCATCACCGTGTTCACAAGAGCCCTCCACTGGTCCCTATCCTGAGCCAGATCTATCCAGTCCATACCATCCCATCCTATCTCTCTAAGATCCATTCTAATATTGTCCACCCACCTACACCTTGGTCTTCCCTGTGGTCTCNAAGTTTCACACCCATACAGAACCACAGGCAAAATTATAGTTTTCTGTATTCTAATTTTTATGTTTTTGGACAACAGATGAGAAGACCAAAGGTTCTGGACTGAATGGTAGCAAGCATTACCTGGGTTCAATCGCCTCTTAATTTCCTCCTGAATCAGGTTTTGATCTGTTATTGTTGTTCCCAAATATCTGAACTGTGCTACATTTTCAAAACATCTGTTTCCTATCTTTATGTCATGATTTTGCCCTGCATTTTGGTGAAGAGACAGCAACATATACTTAGTTTTCTCTGTGTTTACTTCTAGACCAACCTCTTTACTTGTGTCAATTAAAGTTTGTGTGTTTTTCTTTATGGTATCTACATTATCACCCAGTAGATTCACATTATCGGCGTAGATCAACAGCTGATGTGTCCCGTTTAGTTTCAGTCCCACCTGGCTTCCCTGAACCTTCCTAATTGCATATTCTAAGGCAAAGTTGAAAAGGAGTGCAATAAAGCATCTCCTTGTTTTAGACCATTCTGGACAGGAAATTTATCAGACAAATGTTTACCTACATGGACTTTACTATATGTTTCATTTAGACACATTTTAATCAACCTAACTAGTTTCATGGGTATCCAAAACTCTATCAGAATATTGTACAATACTTCCCTCCAAACTGAATCGTAGGCTTTCTTGAAGTCTATGAATAGCTGATGTACTGTCTCATTGTACTCCCATTTTTTCTCCAATATCTGACGAATGCAAAAGATCTGATCTGTAGTTGATCTGTTACGTCAAAACCCACACTGATGATCCCCAATAATTTCATCTATATATGGACTTAACCTTGAAAGAAGAATATTGGACAAAATTTTATATGAAGTTGATAGCAGTGGTATCCCCCGATAATTACTACTTCAGTCTGTGACACCATATATCCTGGTAAATTAACAAAATTTTGATGTAACAGTGTGATGCTGTCAGCCCAGTTTGATTTTTCTAGGTATTGTAATTTTAAATGAGATTTTAGTATGTTTGCATGGGCAGGATCCTTACAGTTTTACTATATCAGGAGGAGCAGAAGGTTAGTGGAGCAAGCAGATTTAGTGTTGGAAAGAATAATTATAATTCATTGTATACTAGTGTTTAAGGAAATTAACTGCTTTGTTTCAGATTGACTGGCATGACCCATGGCTTGTAGGATTGATTGTTTTCCATGTTGTAATAACACTGATGACATTGCTTACAAGAAACCACAGCAATTTCCAAGTTCTACTGTTCTTTATCTTGTGTAAGTAGATAATAGACAAATTAATGTTAGGTTTATGTATGAAGTGAAGACAAACATTTGTTTGAATGCAGCCAAGTAGAAAAGAGTTAAATGTGCTACATGTAGTGTAGCTGGTTGCAGTAGGTATCCTTAAGGTCACTTAAGCTAGTTCATGTTTGTTGCTATAAAAAAATATGAATGGACTATTTTCTTCTTATAAGCCATGCCCAGTTCACATAGTAGCATGGTTGGTTGAGGTACTATGCTACAAGCCTGAAGGTCACGGTTCAATTTCCCTGTGAGGTCACTGGATATTTCACTTGACCTAATCCTTCCAGCCACACTGTGGTTATGGGGTCAATCCAGCCTCTAACAGAAATAAGTACCAGGAATCTTCCTGGGAGGCTGACAGACTCACCACCATCTGTGAGCCGATTGTCTAGAAAATGTGGGAGCCTCAGTGTCTCAGAACCCAGTGGGCCACCACTGCCTGTTACAGGGATAGCTTTACCTTTATAACCCATGCTCTGACTTTATTGGATGTCTGACTTTATATTGTTTTTTTTACAGTGTTACTTGTTTACTTTTCTGAGAGCATTAATGAAATTGCAGCAAATAATTGGAGGTAAGATTAAATATGTTAACAGTAAAGTTGTCAGATCTAAGTTAGCCGTTTTTTTTATCTCCCTGCATTTTATACTTTGTGACAGTTATTTTTAGTACTGGTATATTGCATCATCAACATCTACTGATGTTAATATAATATTCTGCAAGTCATTAAGGTACTAGAACAAAGAATATTTCCATCCCACAAAGAAATGTTCATTTGTTCTGTAGTTTAAGTAGAAGTGTTTTAATGCATTCCAGATATTACACTGCAGTGAGCAGCACTATTTGATGCTGATGGGCAATGATACACTTTCTGGTAGAAAACAAGATGGTGGATGCAATTCATGTCATATTTTCATACTAACATGCATTTGTTCTTATAACAATTTATCATAAAAAGCAGACTGATGTTTAGAGAGACAGAACTACACGTACTACCTGTAACTCCAAAGCAAAGCATATAATTGGTGGCTTCGTCCGTTTATAGTACAGCAGTCATATTCTCTGTGGTTTTTATGTTAGTGAAGGTTTCATCACAGAACTGTATGTTGGACTTCACACAAAATGGTACATTAAATGTTATTTTTAAGCCAAACTTAGTTAATATGCCACAAACTAACCTGAAAAATTCCATAACAGGAATTATTTATGCATATGAAGACAGACCATGGGCAGCAAAGTTTATTCCATCTCTTAAAGTAATGGAATTGCTTCTAACTTAATAGAAATGTTGTTTGAATCTCTGAAATCTTAAGTGGGATACACCAGTCATAACCAGGTTTCTATACTTGTTGTACTCTGATGTTCATGTTTACTGTTGCAGCTTATTTTCACGGCAGCAGTACTTCGATAATCAAGGAATGTTCGTTTCTCTTGTCTTCTCTGTGCCCATACTGCTCAACTGCATGATTATGGTGGTAAGTGACAATGTAATTAATCATACTACAGCTGAAAGCTTGTATTCTAGTTCGTATTTCTGTATTTGAGTCTATTATTGTACCAGCTTACAAGAAGGGTGATAAAACTGATTGTAGTAATTATCATGGCATATCACTATTATCAACTTGATACAAAATTTTGTCCAATATCCTTCTCTCAAGGTTAAGTCCATACATAGATGAAATTATTGGGGATTATCAGTGTGGGTTTTGATGCAACTTTTCAGTTACGTATCAGATTTTTTGCTTTTGTCAGATACTGGAGAAAAAATTGGAGTACAACAAGACTGTACATCAGCTGTTCACAGACTTCAAGAAAGCCTATGATTCATTTAGGAGGGTAGTATTGTACAGTATTCTCATACAGTTTGGGGTACCCATGAAACTAGTTACACTGATTAAAGTGTGTTTAAATGAAACCTATGGCAAAGTCCATATAGATAAACATTTCTCTGATAAGTTTCCTATCAAAAATGGTTGAAAACAAGGAGACGCTTTATTGGCTTTGCCTTTCAACTTTGCTTTAGATTATGCCATTAGGGAGGTTCAGGAAAACCAGGTGGAACTGAAATTAAATGGGACACAACATCTGCTGGTCTGTGCTGATGTTATGAATCCGTTGGGAGTAAGGAGGTTGGTCTAGAAGTAAACGCAAGGAAATGTTATGAATCTGTTGGGAGTAAGGAGGTTGGTCTAGAAGTAAACACAAGGAAAACTAAGTATATGTTGCTGTCTCATCACCAGAATGCAGGGCAAAATCATGACATGAAGATAGCTGATAGATCCTTTGAAAATGTGGCATAGTTGAAATATTTGGGAACAGCAGTAATAAATCAAAATTCAGGGGGAAATAAAGAGGACTTGAATTCAGGTAATGCTTGCTACCATTCACTGCAGAATCTTTTATCATCTCATCTGCTGTCTAAATCATAAAAATTAGAATATACAAAATTATAATTTTGCCTTTGGTTTTGTATGTATGTGAAACTTGGTCTCCATCGTTGACATTAAGGGAGAACATCGACTGAGGGTGTTTGAGAACAGGATGCTGGGAGGAATATTTGGATGGAAGATTGATGAAGTGATAGGAGATTGGAGAAAACTGCATGCTGAGGAGCTTCATAACTTGTACTCTGCCAAATATAATTATAATGAGACGGGCAGGCCGTGTAGCATGAATGGGGTTGAGTGGGATGCATGTAGGATTTTGGTGGAAGCCAGAAGGAAATGACCACTAGGGAAGCTAAGACTTAAGTGGGTGGACAATTTTAAGTGGGTCTTAGAGAGGTAGGATGGTGCGGTATGGAGTGGATTGGTGTGACTCAGGATAGAAACCAGTGGAGGGTTCTTGTGAACACAGTAATGAACATTTGGGTTCCATAGAATGTTAGGAAATTCTTGAATAGCTGCACAACTGACAGAATCTAATGAAGCGCTCTTTTCTCTGGAGTCCATTTTAGTTATTTCTGTGTTCAAATTGAATGAGTTCCACGATAATCATTGAAACAAGAAATAGAAATAAAATTGTGCAAGTTCATGTGTCCTTAGCCAGCATTCTATAGACATTGGATTCATCTGCGGCCTTCCTTGGATGATGTCAATAATTGCTCTGCCTGGGGTGCCATCCTTACCTTATTCCCCCCACACTTACCTTGCCATTTTCATAGTGACAGGCTGGGAAGGTTGAAGAATGGGTGGGCACCAGTAGACACTGGTCTGGTGGCTGTGAATTTGTACAGACCTTTGGATAAGGTATGCGTGATGGTGTCTAGCTTTGGCTGGGATCAGTAGAGCCAGAGATTTGGTCTCTAGGTCTTAATGGACCTGGCCTAACAGGGCAGAAAGAGCCTGATTGCACCTGCACACACCATGTCCACACAGAAGAGATACCTTGGAGAATCTTTATTACATAACGTGTACTGGCACTGATAGTTACACTTTTGTTTACAGGTATCCAATTTAACAATGTAATATTCTTCCATTAAGTCACAGTAACTAAATAAATTGTCATGATTTGTCTGATCAGTAATAAGTTATCTATCACAGTTGGTGGAACAGGTAAGTGTTTATTAACTAAGTAATTCCGAAGGGCACAGTGTTGTATCCCGAAGGATAGTGATGGGAAGTACTTGTAGACCGAGCGGAAGTCTTGTGGACTGGGATCGTTGGAGCACTTAAGAATTGAAATTCAAGTCTTCGGAAGTCGGTTTTCAGGTTAATAGAATGATGTATTGAATCAAATGCTTATACAAAGTTACATTAGGAATAGTAATTATAGTTAATTGATAAATGAACAAAAGGATGTGAGTGCACTATGCACCAACGCGGTAGGATTCGGCGGGTAGTGAGAGGTAGCCTCCAGGGAGGTGCTGAGTGTGCTACTCGATGATGCCGCACTGAAGTTCAGTAATAACACAAAATAGTGATTAAACTGGCGAGGAGTCCGACCGAAGTGAACAAGTCAAAAGTTTAGCGTGGTGTCCGCCGTGGCTGGCAAGCCTGAGTTTTTAAAGGGATTCGAACCCCGAACTTGGTGCTTGGACATCCAGAGACACGCCTATTGAGGGCGTAGTCAGATTCAGGATCGACATTTGATTCGTCGTCCTTAAAGAGGAGTTTGACCATTCAGACGTATGGAGCACTGGATGGTCATAGGAATTCCAAATGAGGATTCCAATTAAAATGGTTTTTGAAATCACGAGGGGAGAACACCTGCAGGAAGTGCCCATAAGCACGTCTCTCCCCAAAAGGGTGAACCTCTTATTTTGTATTCACTCAGAATTTCGGGGTCTAGACTACCCCATACAGGAAAAGGACAACTTAGAATAAACAAGTAGGGTAGCTCGTGGTGCAGGGGACACTATCACATCTCGTAAAATAATGCGGGGGTTGAATACATATTACAACAGATTCTGTGTCCTACCACTTGACAAGACTGGGTACAGCCTCTATATAGAAGTGGCATGTTATGAGACTGTAGACACATCAGGACCTCCAGCTTCCTTCACAATTTGCCTCCCATGAGATCTCTATTGTCCTATTTTGGGAACGATGTCTCAACATTTTTAAATTTCCCAGTCACCTACATTTTTCAGAAATCTCTATCTTAAGCCCTCAACTGCAGGACATACAGGCCCTTGATGGATACTTCTGGAAGCACCTGTTCAAGAAACTCCTACTCTAGAATTAATGACTTAACAAACCCTGTCAGATCTCAGTCAAGGTCTTAAAACGTCACAGAAATTCTAAGAGAGGGCCAACACTTCTGGCCTTCCCAGCAGGAACTGGCATAAGTCACCCACAAGAGTGCAAGAAAGGGATCCTCCCTCTTCCGAATTCCCAACATGTGGAATTGCATATTAATCACTCTAATTAATATTACATATAATAATAGCTGACCATGCTGGGCGATTACAGAACTCCATGAAGTTACAGGAGATGATGATGGGCTTACCACTTGGAGGGATGCTGTAGTGTGATTGATTAATGATTGCTTCTTGACATTGGAATAATAGCTTTGAGGTTTGGTAACTTGCAGTCTTTCAGAGTTTTTTATTTAATTGGTCAGTACTCCTCTTATAAGGAACAAGAGGCATGTGAGATCATATCACATGTACCGTCCAAAAAGTATCCGACTTCATTTTTTTCCGCTGTAAGTAATGGCCAAAGGGGTGGGGAAACTGAGCGAAGTGGTAGAAGGGACTTTAATGAGCATGCGTGATTTTTTGCTGACTCGCAACACCGCCGGATGTGTCTGTGGCTGCCAGACAGCGAAGTGTCACATTCTTGTTTAGCTCAAGATGACAGAACGATTGGAGCAGCGATACTGAATTAAGTTTTTTTCTGAAACTTGGTGATACCCAAGCAGAAACAAACCACAAAATTCAGCAGGCTTTCGGCGATGATGCAATGGGGGTCACTCAAATTAAGAGTGGTTCAACTGCTTTAAACATGGCCGTATGTCGGCAGACAGTGAGCAGCGTTCCGGGAGACCGTCAGTGAGCCAAAATGCTGATGTCATTGAAAAAGTGCGGACACTGATCATGGAGGACCGTTGTTTGGCCATCCGTGAAGTTGCTGATGAGGTTGGGATCAGCAGAGGTTCTGCAAACACAATTTTAACTGAGGATTTGGGCATGCGAAGAGTGGCGGCAAAATTTGTACCCAAGCTGCTTTCACCGGAGCAGCAACAACTCCACCTTGAGGCCGCGCAGGACATGCTGTAGTGCGCCAACAGGGATCCTGAGTTCCTGAAGACTGTGATCACTGGTGACAAGATGTGGGTGTATGGATATGACCCGGAAACCAAGGTCCAGGCATCACAATGGAAGCATCCAACATCCCCAAGGCCCAGAAGAGCACAACAGGTTCGGAGCAATGTGAAGGTGATACTGACTTTTTTTTTCGATTGCCGGGGTGATGTGCATCATGAGTACGCACCACTAGGACAGACTGTCAATAAGGAGTACTACCAAGAAGTCCTCCATCATCTTCGTGATGCAGTTCGGCACAAGAGACCGGAGCTGTGGGACGCACGCAACTGGCAGCTGCATCATGACAACGCCCCAGCTCATTCATCACACCTGATCCAGGGTTTCCTGGCCAAGCACAGCATTCCGCAGGTTCGCCAGGCTCCCTACTCTCCTGACATGGCTCCTTGTGATTTCTGGCTGTTCCCGAGATTGAAGACACTGCTAAAAGGCTGCCGTTTTGACAGCTGCCGGACATCATACAGAACACGATGGCGCAGCTGCATGCCATTCCAAAAGAAGCCTTCCAGAATTGCTTCCAGCGATGGAAGGACTGCTGGGCTAAGTGTGTGGAGTCACAAGGGGCCTACTTTGAAGGCGATTAGGTATTGTAACCACCCAGATATAGAACTTTTTTTTTCCCCAGCCCAAGGTCGGATACTTTTTGGACAGAGTAGTATGTCTGTATGTGTTTTGTCTTCTTTGTAACTTTAAAATCAGGTAACTAATTTTCAAAAAATCTTATGTGAGTGTTATGCAGTTGGGGGCCATCTGTATCTTGTTCTTTTCAGTTTTCTGTAGTTGATAACAGCAGCATGATCAGTGCGCAAACTTATGAGGTGGGAGTAGCTCTAGTGCTATTTGAATGAATGAATGAATGTATAAGGGATGGACCTTCTTGGCCCTTGCACCGTGACCACAGTGATCTATTGTGCCTTCTAGTGCTATTTAGTATAATCATGAAATGGCATGTAGTAATAAATGTATAAAAATATTCAGATTTCAAGTTAATGTTTTGTTGAGTGTAAAACAGCCCGAAGGCTGCATGATTATATTTAGTTTTTTTTCATAGCAGTAACTACCAATACCATAAACATACAAATTTTGTATAAAATGTTGTTCACAAGGTAACAGTTGTGAACTGTAGTGTGAATCTTGGAGGTTATACCCAGCAGATTGAATGTAGACAAAATCTGTACTTAGGTAATACATTTCTCCCTCCCAGAAATAATAAAATAATTAACAGTAATGTTAATATAATTAGTAATATATACAGGGTGTCCCAGGAGGAATGTGCCAGACTTCGGGAGGGTGTTCTGTATGCTAAAGTATGCCGATATAACCCAGAACACCTGTGTCCAAAGTTGAACGGTTATGGAGATTATGGGCCAAGAAAAGTGTGGTCTTCTGGCGGGTCCACGCACTGTACCTGTCAGCTGACAAGTCTTCTCGATGTTTGTCCTTGAGTGTCGTGATGACCGCTCACACTAGCCGCATACCAGAATGCAAAGTCAGCCATGTTACGTTAGTGCTTGTCATTCATGTGTCATGTATAGTGCTTGGAACCCTAACGACAACTATGACACGGTAAGCTGGACTGAAGTTAAAGATGGTGGAGATGTTGAGCTTCAGAGAGGCCAGGAGGATCCAAGGAGTTAGTTAGTCATCCTAAACAGTTGACTCAGTCATTGTAGAGAAGGGGACAAGATATTGGTGATTGCCTAGTAGCAGAGTGTAAAATAAATTAATTATTGACCTCATATGGAACTACAGGCAGATTTGTGTTAACCACAGTGAAAGTGTAAAAGGCCTGGTGTAGACCAGCATTTGAGTTCATTAATAACTTTGTGTTACCATGATGGCTCCTGGAGAATTAAAACAAATGACAAATAATAGAATAAGAATAAGTTGTCTTGGACACATCTCAAGGATGGAGGCTGGATGAACCGTTAAAAGAATATATGACTGGCAGCCACACGCCATAGGAAAAGAGGCGGACCTAAGATTAGATGGAAAGATGACCTAAGGGAAGACCTAAAGGATTTAGAAATTTATAACTGGATAATTCACACACACGACAGAAGTATTTGGAAGGAAATTGTTGAGCAGGCCAAAGTGTTCAAGAAATGAAGGTGTTGAGCCTTATGAAGAAGAAGAACTTTGCGTTTTTGGTCTGGGATTTCATGTACTCAAGAGTGTTACTATTTACAAATTGGATGAGTGATCTGAAGTGGTTACTACCTCTTATGCATATTTTCTGTGCTTAAGAAGACCATCCTCTGCTGTCCTAAACCTGCCCAGGCAACATGATCTGTACATACTTACCTACATTTTTCTGTGAGACCCACAGTGTGGCAGCAAGTACATATTTAATGCTGTGTTACTGTATAACCTTCAGTTTTGTTTAGGTAATGTAAATGTCCTTACTGGTATTTCTTTGCCACATTTTCTTCCACATCCACTGGTATGAATTTTTAACATTATCATATTTTGTGAGACTTGAGGTTTTCACGATGTGACTATGAAGAAAGCCGTCTTCTGGGATGTGGCACTGTGTAGATTGAACTCCGACCTGACAATATGAGCAGAGAAGTGGGGTTTTGTCTCAGCAAATCAAGGAAGCCTCTCATCTGTTCCCTCAAGAAACCTCCGGGACATGACACCAGATCCACAAGGCCGCTCTGGTCCATGCCTTACTTGCATCGTAGCCCCAAAGTTTCATGGTTAGTTCCCTCCAATTAACCTTGTCTTTCTCCCCTCGACACAATATTCTATACCTGCTCTGGCCTGCTACCTGCTGGCCCATATCCCCAGACCCCTCTACTGATTTCCCATATAGCCCCTCTCCCTTCTCTTCCTGCTCTAATACACCTGGGTTTATTCAACTTGACATTAGTCTGTCAGCACCTGCTCACGCTTGTTTCTAGCTCGCGGATTTTCTTTTTTCTTCTACCCTGAAAATGGAGGCGATACGTTCCTCCAAAATGTTGGTTAACACATATCTACAGGGCGTCACATCCCAGAAGATGGCTTTCTTTGTTATCATATTTTGTTTCAAAACATCAGATTTTGTTCAGGATATGGATTGCTTAATTTTGTACTTTTTATCACATTTTTATGTCTGTCCTCTTAGTTTTACAAGCCAAGTCCCAAAACAGGTATGACTCTAACATGAAACTTAACACAATCTGTTCAATTTACAGGCAAACTGGTTGTGGCAGTCAAGCCAACTGATGACAAAACTGAACAGAGCTCAGCTTCGTCAGCAAGCACAGTCGTTACATTTACGGCGTCAACAGCTGGAGCAGCAAAATAGTGCTATGATAAATCACCGCAAGACAGACTGAGAACTGAAAGATTGAATGAGTGACAAACACTGGAGGACATGAGCATGTGTAATGAGTGAACTAGTCACATTTTGTCTTGCACTTAACAGCGTATGGCACATCTGGGTAGAGGAAGTTGTATATTATCTGCTGGAGCTATTAAACATTTTAACAAATCACTATACTTTTGTACTTAACATAAAGTGTGAGGTGACAGTTGCACACCATGGCAAACTGAAACAGAATCAGCTAACCAACCAACAGTTTGGAAGTAGGTCATTGCCTGTCATATGTGAAGATATACTTTTAAGAAAATACTGACTGAATTTGTATTTTGGATTGCAGAGATTGATGTCAGAGACGGCTAAATGTCTGACCTGTTAGTATAAACTATCAAATAAATGGAGCAGGACTGGAAGTTCAGAGCTTTTTCTGGATAATATTTAACATCAAACTTAATCATTTCATTCATTGGTTACTAAGAATTTGACCTGGTGCCTGAATTTCACTAACCATTACTTCGTCCTGTAGTTGCTGAACAAAGACAGGTCAACATTATAGGACAGGAGCTGAACAGTGTTTGAAAAGGAGGAAAACCTTATGCCAAATGCTACAAGTACATCATATGAGAGAAGTAGACTTACGAATTAAGTTCAGTTTATTATAAAATGTGATATTCATATAAGAGAAAATCTGAAGTAAGGTGGATGTTTAGTCATGAATGATATAGTTCATTCCTAAAATTTTGTTTATCACTAGTGTAGTTCTCTTGATTGGTGGCTATTTTTCGTTTCATGTTCATAGTATTACTGACACTTGTCTCAACTACACGATCACTGTCTATTCCAAGTTCATAGGGACCGATGAAATTGTGTTATGTAGAAATTGAGCTTGCATTTTAGTGGTACTAAAGATTTAATGACATTCATGTACAAAAAACAGACCAATCAGAATTATATTTATCTGAGAAATGATGCCATATAATTTTGTAGATTGGTACCAGTGTTGTGGAGGAACATGCTGCCTCACGGGGAGAAGATTGTGGCAATGATATGGGAACATTGGTACCTATCTACCAAACTATGTGGCATCATTTCCCAGAAGACGGTAATCTTACTGCTCACTGCTGTGAGGACCTCCATACTCAAAAGAGACCAATGTTAAATATATCTAGTAAGTTACAAATCACATCACACTAAGGTTCTTAAATTCAGTAATTTGGATATTGATTTTAAGAGCAGCTAAGATTTTTTCTGTTGTAAACAAAAGTAAATGTAATCTCCTTTTCCAACAGCTTCCGTCCAAAGGTTATGCAGCTGTTGCATAAATGTTTTGAAGCAGGGGGATAGGTGCTATGCATGTGGTATGTTACTAAATTCTCTACAAGAATTAACATTCCATATCAGTACTTTCATACTTTCCATTCATTGCCTATTGTTGCTTGAATCCTACATAGTTTCTTTTTTATGTTCTTTGGTAATCAAATTATAAATCCTTTTCATATCAATAGATGGTGAATCAGAAGTGTGAATTTGTGGATTTAATGTCTATAATAGGTTACAGTTTAGTTTCCTCTCTATTTATATTCAGCTGGCAGAGTTTTTCAGTGAATTACTCTGTGTATATGTGCCAATATACTGTCTTATTAAAACAGAACAGACCCCTGATTTACCTTCTTACAGTGTTTTGTTTGTTTGTTGTTTTGTAAAATAGTGTTACCTTTCCTACATGTATTCTGTAGATACCTAGAGAGGAATACCAACAATATGGAGCAGAAAAATCAAACATTTTTGCATGAAGGTTAGTCTGACACATTCACTGCTGTTTCATCAGACTACATTTTGACTCATTTTTAGATAAGCTCACAGGACTATCACCAGCCAGAATTCTTGTAGCATTCTGTAGCAATTTCTTTCAGGTTAGTAGAATTTTGTTAAATGACTTATATTGCTCTAAAGCTTCATTTTATACAGGAAATTCTGAATGATTAATAGGAAATGATTTATTTAAGCCTTTTTAAATGTGTGTCTGAAGAGGAGGTTTCATTTTCTAATTTTCTGATGCAAGCCGTTTATTCGTGTTTGTGTGGTACATAATATTAATCTGAGCAGGTTCTGGAGAGTGTTTAAACTAGATAATTTTTGAGAGGGACTGGGCTCAATGGGCATATTTTTATGTAATCATACTACTTAAGGATAAACAGTTTTAAATGTGGTATTGACTTTAGGTCATGCATCTTGCAGACATCTTGTGATCTGGCCATATATTTTTGAATAGTTGAAATGCTGACCCAGGAAAGAGTGATAGTTTGATGTTTAGCTGAGTTTGGGTTGAAATAACATCGCCTTTCTTAATTGAATCAGGTAATTATAAAATGGAATATGTCTGTGTTTCATCAGTTTTACATGTTCCCTTTTCCAGCTGTATTTTCTGTAATAGCAATAGTAAAATCTTGTTCCTCCTAGCGTCAGTCAATCTGAAGTACTGTCAGTTCATTGCCTTTGATCTTCTGAAGGCATGGACTTTCATGTCCTGTTTGGTCTGAAGTAAAGTTAGAGTATCAGTTGCATAATTTTACTCTTAGGTGTACACAGCTGGAGAATATTATGTTTGCATGTATCACAGCAGTTGTAGGCAAGTTATCACCCTATTGCTGAATCTGTCATACCCCAGACTTGAAAGTTTTTACCTCTTACCTTCTTAGGCAGAGAGGAATATATAACATGTATGTATTTGAGTTTAATCTCATTTGATCATAATTTTTGCTGTGTCAAAGAAGTCAGCCATTTTCTTTTCTCTTTATAATGAAATACATCTGAAAATATGTCAGCTTTCTTGAAAGTTCTTGGGAAAGCTTCCGACTTAGATTTATGTCTGACTAGAAAGAAACCTGCTTGCTTCATGAAATTTTGTGCCTCTGATCATTTGGTCTATTTCCATCGTGAGGACACCAGCTGTGCAAGCCAGCATGTGAGATTTTTCCAGGATGATATCAGATGTTAATCTTTTGACATGTTAATTTTTTCTTTCTACAGTCATCACTCTTTTCAGACTTCTGATAATTTTCCGTATTGAATGACCCAAAATTTTACCATTGTCTTGTTGTACTAACTAAATTATTATTTGAGATGTGATGTTGCCAAGATGATGAATATTGAGACTGCAGTCTTCTGAGATGTACTGCCATGTGGTCTGGCAGATGGTTACCAACATTTCAGAGGAACCTGCTGCATCTGTCATAAGGATGTAAAAATGGTAGTGTCCTGAAGATTCTTCCCAAACTTTGGTAACCACCTACCAGACTACAGATCATCACATCCCACAAGACTGCAATATTTGTTATTATTTTTCCTGCATGTCAAATCGCATCTTGTATTAAGCATTATAGATAATGTTTCAGCCATCACATACTGTTAAATATTTGTTGCATTAAAATTTAATGAAAATTAAGTCTAAACTCCATATACTAGTATTTAAATGACATGTGAAGTGAAACTTCAATATAATAAATTTCTTCAGTCATTGTACTCATATCTTGCTGCATTACAAGTATAATATATTTTAAAAATGATCACTTTTCAAAGAAGTTAAAGTTGAATACTGCTACTTTGCAGACCACAGAATTGACGAGCATTAATTTGTGTCGTTCTGTTTATAAGAATTTTTGTATGACTTTGACATAGGAAGCAGTAGTGTGAATAGTGAATTAGGAATAGAAAGTGTTATAAATGCCAGCAGAATTATTTCGAAACTGAGAAGTTTTCACTATATTCACTCTGAGGTACCATCTTCTCTTCGGATAAATGTTATTAAAATTTACTTCTCAGTATAGAGATTGTAACTGTTGCTGTAATATGTAACAACTAAAAATGCAGGGTGAACATTCAAAAAAACGTTCTTTTTGTTATGAACCTCCGTTTCATGTCCCTGTGTTTATTCATCTGCTAATTTCATGACTTTGAAAGTCCTATCATTTGTTCCAAAAGTTACGAGTAAATTACTGTTTAAACAGATGTGTTCAGTTATGGTGTGTGTGCTGTTATGACCTACAGTACAATTCTAAGACATCTTGGCAGGGCAGACCAAATATTTAGCCGTATTTTCAGGTGGTCCTTAAAGTGTATGGATCTGAAATACAAGTTCCCAGCTTGAAGTATATATGAACATTTATATTTCATGACTTCTAGTTTCAGGGACCATGAACTTCATATCTGAGCCTAGTCATGATAAAATAAAAAATACTTTCAAACATTGCTGAATTATTGAAGATCCTAAGCCACCAGTTTTGAATTTGACATGTACATATGAATCTTCTGGAAGTAAAGTTTTATGAAAACATAATGTGCTCGGTGTAAGTAAGGTAAAGTTTTCCTGTAACAGGCCATGAAGGCCCATAGGGTTACAGTCGGCTCACAGATGATAGTAAGGTAGTAAGTAAGTACCAGGAATATTCCTGGTACTTCTTTCTGTTAGAGGCTGAGTCGACTCCAGGGCCATAGTATGGCTGGAAGGATTAGGTAAATTGAAAAAAAAAATCCAACTCATCGGGACTCAAACCTGCAACCTTCCAGCTTGTAGCATAGTGCCTCAACCAACTGTGCTACTGTGTACCCCATGCTAGGTGTAGTCCCATATTTATAATGGACTATTTGACAAAAAGGGGAGAGTCATTCACAGTATCAGATTACCTTTCAATTGGCGAGTTTTGATTTTTTTGCATGTTAACTGTATATGTATTATTCTTGAAGTATTATTTTCTCATGTATGTAGTATATATGAAAAGTAATGTGATTGTGAAGAAAATCGGTCTGAAATTTTGATGAATTTACATGTTTTGAGGCCCCCTGAATATGAGAGAATGGTTTTTGGAGTTCTGTGTGCCTTTATAGTACATGAATGGTTGGTTAGATATTCAGTATTTAAGTGTTTATCCATCATAGGCCTGTACCACATGAATAACACACCAGCTTCAAAATTAGGGGTCCTTTGGATTAGACTCCAGAAACAAAATGGCTGCAATGATTTTAATTAAATTCCAGCAATTATACTTCAGAATTTAAGATTATCTCATAAAATTAGGAAAAGAGTTAAGACAGAATATAAAATTTGCAGCACTTTCACCAAACAATTTTAACGCACGTGATGGCGAAATAGAAACGTGTGAAATAGATAAAGAGAGTTCTGAATATTTAAATTTTGAATTTAAAACATTTAGTGTGAGTTGTATGGGAGATAGAATTGAATACATGAGAAAAGTAAAAATAGTGCAACAGGATGCTGCAATATAGAGTTTCTTGAGTTGACAGTTCTTCTCCCTATGGGTGATGATTATATCGACAGGTTTTTCTATATTAATGGCATTGGTTAGGCCTGATATTAATGAATATTTATAAAATTATTATGATAATAAAAATTTGATATTCATGGAGTACTATAGAAAAGATTTAGTTACAATTGTGATTTGAATTAGAAGCGGAATATATGGTGGGCTCTCGTGAATATTGCAGTGAACCTTCAATTTCATAAAAGGCAGGAAATTTCTTGTGCAGCTGAGCTGGTTAAAGTCTTCTGCAGAGTAAGATGTTGCAGACTGAAGTTAATGAGATTCGTGTAACTTTTGTAAACCAGCATGTTTTCATAGTCTCAGAGCAGAAGTAGTCAGTTTTTCAAAATAAATAGTTAAAATAGTGTCTCAACAAAGCTTTAAGGTAAAGCTGAGAATAAAATTTAAGTAACTTTTATAAGTCACCACTTCTTCATGTTGTTAGAGCAGGAGTAGTCATTTCTTCAGAATATAATTCTCCCTGGGGGGTAGAGTGGATGGTGAATGGAAATCATTACCTCCATCTAAGACTGATTTTAGAATGCACTGAGCTATACCTCCACTCCCCCATATGGCACAGTGAAGGACACGGACAACCTTACACATTAGTACAAATATTGGCTCATTAGCTGTTTACTTGATGTTACTGTCACAAGAAAATTATTAAGAATTTACCCTTGAATTTGTTATCCACTTTACTAAAATTCCATTCATCTTCAAAGTTCACACCAGACCTACAGTCATATAGTTACATTCCTGTTTCCTTTATCCAGTCTTGCATTTAGGCTGAACTCTGGTGATGTATACATTTTTAGCTAGAGTGCCAAGAACATGCTATCAACTGAAGTGCAAAAAAAAATTGGCTATGAATCTCAGATTTGTTGTTCATCAAATTGAAATACATAATATGCCTACATGTTTTGGTTGCAGTGCTATGTTGGTTTAATCAAGAGCCTGAAATAACATATTGGTAGCTTCTATACAAGAATATATATCTGTTTAAATCATGGTTTATTATTATAAAACAATGTATTTATGAAATAACATGTTTTCTGTAAAAGCATGTAGGAATAATTTTGAATGGACTTCCCATCATACACATACAGTATATTTCCATAATAATTTAAATATTGAATAGTAAAGATAGGCTATTTGACATGTATGCATAAGTTTGCATCTAATGTCGAGTGAAACTATTTCTTAAATGGAAAATGTATAGTATTACACTGCTACATATCCAGAGAGATAGGTGTTAGAATTGCTCTTTCTGTTATTGTTCCAGTTAATTAGAGCTATTTTATTTCTCTTCTGATCTATAAGTAATTTAAAATACAGTGTTGAAAGAAAAAATGCTGTTGTGCAGTTATGTTGTTATTGACAGCAAGTAACTCATTATACTTTTGACTGGATTGAGAGAACATTATCTTATATATATTTTTTCTTTTTTTTTTTACGTTGTATTTTATAGGATAAATAGTGGGACCAAAAAGAATGTGCTAAACGTGAAACAGTCCATTTGAAGAACATTTTATTAAGGTTCCAGTATAGTGAGATTACTACTTACTGGCAGAATGAAGATATCTACAAAAGTATGATCAAAGTGCATATTATGTACATTCATAAATGTATATGACACCTTTTATATAGACCAAGTATTTGCCAGTTGTAGAATATTCATACTGTGCTTTGTTATGTATTTTTTTGTTTGAAAGGAATGGTGAGAAAGTATGTGAGTACACTGCTCCTCAACCAAAACAGGTAGAATGAAAAATTGTTAATGTAAGTCAAAATAGATATGACAGATGAAATCACGCTGAAATCAGTGCATAAACGTCTCATTACTGGGAATTTCAACTGCTTTTTCAGTAATTTAATCTTCATTGTTTTTGTATCTTGTAATTCCTTGCATTTATATACATGATATAAACTATAAAATTTTATTTCCTAATTAAGCATATGGCACTAGTGGAAAAGTCTCAGACAGACAATGAAGCTGTAGGGTTTGTTGGATTTGAGGTTCTCACAGCAATGACTATGAAGAATAATATCTCTAGGATGTGACACTGTACAGTCTGGTAGAAGTTTACTGATGTCTTCAGGGTCAAAGAGTAAACTGAGCACTCAACAAGCACATAGGATGCAGACTTTTCAATCACATTATACAGTATCACATCCCAGAAGATATTAAATACCCTTGTACAGGGTATTGCTTAGACTGTAGATATGAAGCAAATAAATATCACTGGATGAAACTTCTAGGCCAGTCTGTAGTGCAAACAATATTTGCACGAGATTGGTGAGACAAGGCCTAATATATGTACAGTGGAATGGTTTTCCTGTCACTGCGTAGAAGGTGGATACAGCTAACTACCTGATGATGATGCATATCAAAATTTGTTTATTCTTGAGAAACTGTGGGACATATAAGTTTAATGTGGAGTCCATTATAATACTATATCATAGGGAATTCAAGGCTTCATGAGGTACCATCCACATCTATTGCAAAGGTTTTCTCACTTTGAGACTCTAGACTCTTCCTGTACCTATTAAAATATTCTGTTGGAAAAGCTATTTATGTGTATAGTTTCAGTTTCAGTAGTTCAGTTGGTATAGTGACTAGGCTATGGCCTTAATGATAGGGGTTTGAATTCTGCCAGGGGCAGCAACTTTCCTAGGGGTAAAATGGAGTATGAAGCTCACCACCTACCTCAGTCTATAGTTGAAGTTCAGAGAGAATTGAGTCATACCTCTACTCCCACATATGTCTTTATGGGATGGTGCTTAATTAAGCAAAAGGACAGCTTTATTGTACTTTATTATGAAGATCTGCGATTTCCATTGTTTGATAACAGCAAATTAATGACTTAACTGTT